GACTTAGTTGTGACCATGAAAGCCAATTCTCATGGTCATCCCTTGCCATGGAGCACATTATCCATGGCCATGCAATCCATCCACTATAAACTCATGGTCAACTGTTGTTTTCATGGTTTACTGGTTCCATAAATCTATGGTCAGAAAAATCCATGGTTAAATTTATGTCCATGGCTCATGGACAGCCCCATGTTTTTTTTACCCAGGGACGCATGATACAAAAATTGGAAAGGTCCATGGTGGCGGAATCAGAAACGGAACTTACAGGGACTGGAGGGTGGAGACTGCGGGGGCGTTGAAGGAGGAGATGGCGGGAAGGCTAGATGATGAAGGTGGAGAGGCAGCTACAAAGAGAAAGGAAAATAAAAAAGGGGGGAAAAGGAAAAAAAACGTACTTACGTAGCAACCAGAGTTGCTAGAGTTGTTTCAACTAGAGTCGTGCAACGATACTTGGTTTCTCGAGCGCCGCGCAACGATACTTGGTTTCTCGAGCGTAGTACAAAGATACTTGGTTTTTCTAGTGGCGCTGCGCCGTTCGTGCTTTGAGTTAGGGACGAGCGAACTGCTTCTGCTGTGATGGCTGCGTTTCGTGAAGGCATTAATATAGAACTTGCACTGCAAGTTAAAACAATTATTATCGACAAGGAGCCATCTGAAATTAGTGCGATTAGTGTTGTATTTCCTGATACAGCCATTCAGCTCTGCTCGTTCCATGTCTCGAGAGTTCTTAATGATAAGACAAGCAAGGAGCCAGAGGCAAAGCCAACCATTTATCAGTTGAGAGGCACCATAGAGAACACTGAGTTCCAGAATCTTGTGAAAGAGTTGGAAGTAAAATCCAGCCCAACTTTTTTCCCATATTTTGAGGAAAATTGGATAAACTGTCCTCAAGGATGGGGCAACCGAGACAAAATGAAAAGCATTACTTTTGGTAACACCACCACCAACAGAGTAGAGAACCATAGCTCCAAAATTAAAATGGTTTGATTCAAACAATTCACAATTTGCAATCTCTCGCAGCAGTAAATATGTTACGTGCATTAATTTGAGTTTTGATGTTATACAGGTCCTTAATTGCCACTCCACTCTCTCTGAGGTTATAGAGAAACTTCTAGAGATTGTTAAGAACAAGGATGAGGATGTCCTTTACAGAGATGTGATTGAAAACCTCAAAGACACGTACCTCGCGAGCGAGGGGGCAGTGACTTCTAGTATTCGCGGTTCACGAGGGAATTAATACCTTCAGTATTCAGGCGATATTCAGTGATTATTCAGTGATATTCACCATTAGAGTGTATTCACAGTGCACGAAATTTCGGAGTTGGTACCCCTTCGCTCGCGAGTAATACCAATCCAGTTCTGAAACAAATTCTTCAGGATCTTACCAAATTTTCTGCAAAACTGCAAATATGGGAGCATGATTCTGCACCAGATGAAGAAGAAATGGCATACTATGATAGCACAGAGTCTGAATGCTGCTGCCTCCTCTTCTGGAGCTTTGAGTTGCCATGCAGGCATATCTACCAGAAGAGGCGACAAGCAGGTTTATAAAACATTAGTAAACTATACGATAAATTAACCTCCATGTTTCTGTTATTTAAAACTAACAAATAAAGTACATTTTGCTTTAAACAACAGTCCACGATTGATTACAGATGATTCCATCTACCTTTCAGCTTCTTTTCACAGTTCAAGATATACTTTATTGTGTTGGCCAATTCTTCCTGCGAGAACAATAGAAGTGTGAAGTGTGTGGCGCGAACACGACGCAAGAGGGGAGGAGACAACGTTTTGTCTCTACCTTCTTTGAGAAAAGCGACAGGAATATTTCTGGCCGTCGTATATTGTACGCGACCAGCAGTGGCGTTGGTGGGTAAATATTTAAGAAAGAGAGGATGTTAGCTTGTTTAGCTTCTTGTTGCAACAAGAGTCATTCCCCTCTCTCCGTTGGATCTAATTTGGTTGGTGTTAAGACAAGCCTTAATCATCCGTTCATACAACCTACAACCAACACCATAAATCTTGCCCCATTCTTGTTTAGGTTCGATTTACTCTAACGCCCATAAATCTCATGTCCTTTAGTACGCTTGATAAGACAAACCACCTTGCATTTTTTAGTAGAGCAAAACCGACTTTTGGGGCATGTAGTACATACCCCTAGGTCACATTTGAGAAGTGGTGCCCACCTTGACCCAGTGTCTGAGTTCCTGTGCGGGTTGCATACCCCACAGGGGCAAAAATCAAATAGCGCATTCGCGCTGTTCTTTCTGAGCCGGCATTCATCGGATTGGCTTCTCACATGTAAAAGACACTTAAATTTAACTCACGCAACCCATGTGATGCGGGTTGACTTCCCCCAAGGCGTCAAAATATCGAGAAAACCAACATTAATCCACGGAAGACTTTCAGTGTATACAAACGTTACCGAACATTGTCTGTTTTTAATGTGTGTGTATGTGTGTGTGTGTG